TTATCAGCAGCCCTAAAAGAGCTTTGTAACATTGACTAGGCAGAGAGGGGCCTGCCTAACTTGAAGAACTGAACCCTGAGCATTTCTGACTCTGAATTGTAACCTCTTAACTTCCCAACAAATCCCATTAACTGTGAGTATGATATCCGAGTTCTGTGTGACCAGTGCAATGAATTATTGAACCTAGCCGAGAAGTAGAAAGTACTGTGTAAGGGATGGTTAGTGCCAATTTTTTTTTGCAACACGATTTCACTTATGTATCAAATATAGCAGAGAAAAAAATAAAACGAAAAACAAAACAAACTTGCTTTTTAAGTAATTTAACATTTTGCATATATTACTTGAATCATTTATATCTTCATATAAATACTCTTATATCTTATCTCCTTCTATAGTGTAGAAATCTTATCTTAAAAGAGACCCTCACAACAGCTTGCTCAGTGCATTACATATAAAAAATGTCTGATAAATATTGACTGGCTTATTAAACCTCTCAAAGAATATCTATGTTTAGGAAAGCAACAAATAAAAGTAAAAGTAAAAGGTATAAAAATTATTCCTATATAAACTATTCTCCTGGGATGAACTTTAGTGTGACTTATGTGAGCTTTTTGGTTATTAAATACAAGTATCTATTTGAATGCTAATAGAAGATGTTTATTTGTTGTAGGATAATGGCTTTATAAAAGGCAAAAATACCTAGAGTTGTCATGAAGATCTTCACGTATTTGACTTCTTACATTTGAAAGCTTTAACAAAGGAAAACTACAAACAAGAGAATCTTGATTTAATTTTTAAAACTTGAAATTCTCAAAATTTAGAAGACACCCAATACTACCTTATAAGATAGACTTATTTAGTAAAATGAAGCTAAACACAGGTACATGGTATCATTATATACATATTTAAAAATATGAAGAAAAAACACTTTAATGGTGCTGTATCATGTTTTGTCTACCAATAGAACAGTAAAGCAGACAGTAGGATTAACTGAGGCTATATGTAAAAATATTTAGGAAGGATATATCTGAACACTGAAACTACTGAAGTTGCTGTTAACTACCTTAACTGCCCGTAAGATACGTTAACTGCAAGTTGGCAGTTCAAACCCACCTTGGAAACCCTATACAGGGTGGTCATTATGAGTTGGAACTGATTTGATCGCATTTAAAATCAGTAACAACAACAACCTTGGTTGCCCAATTTTTAAATAAGGTTTTCACTGTCTACTGATAATTATGGAAGGTTGCATGTTACATATAGCACAGTTAAAGAAAAGCATAGCAACTCAGAAATGAAAGATTATGATGCTGTTTCCAGACATGTGGAAGATACATATCTTACCTCTTGGAGATGACTTTCCATAAGGCAGGTACACTTATATAAGTATCAACTACATGGGAATAATAAGCGTACTAGGCTGCAGCTGTACACAGTACCGGCAGTAGATAATGGATCCGTTTATCCTTTTGTTCTATGTTGTTGTTGTTGTTAAGTGCCATTGAGACAATCAATTCTGACCCACAGTGACCCTGTACAGGGTTTCCAAGGAGTAGCTGGTGAGCTTGCAGCTCAAATGACTGCAGTCTGACGCATTGTAATTTGGCTAAGACCAAAAGCACAAAATCAATCACTAGGGTTCAGAAATGAGTTAAAAGATGAGTAAATGGTAAGATAAACTACAGAGGCCCTATGATAGATCCTTTGATATACTACTAAAACCAGTTGTAGGTAGAAGATTTCTATGAAAAAATTAAGGATTTTCAACTAATGGAGGTTTCTAAGTGAAAAGAAGGGAGTGCAGTGGCTCTATAGGATAAGTAGTTGTTGTTAAGTGCCCTCAAGTCAGTTCTGACTCACAGTGACCCTGTATACAGTTTCCAAGGAGAAGCTGGTGACTTTAAACCCCTGACCTAACAATTAAAACTGACCTTGCATTATCCTGCAGTGCCACACTAAACTACAAACCACAAGGTTGGTGGTTAAAGCCCACCAGCCACTCTTTAGGAGAAAGATGAGACTTTCTGCTCCTACCAAGAATTACAGTCTTGGAAACCCTATACAGGATCACTACGAATTGAAA